GAGTGAGTGAGTGAGTGAGTGTGTGTGTGTGTGTGTGTGAGAGTGAGTGAGTGTGACTGTGAGTGTGTGTGTGTGAGTGAGTGTGTGTGTGTGTGTGTGTGAGAGTGAGTGAGTGTGACTGTGAGTGTGTGTGTGTGAGTGAGTGTGTGTGTGTGTGTGTGTGAGAGTGAGTGAGTGTGACGAGTGAGTGAAGTGAGTGAGTGAGTGTGTGTGTGTGTGTGTGTGAGAGTGAGTGAGTGTGACTGTGAGTGGAGTGAGTGTAGTGAGTGTGTGTGTGTGTGTGGTGCGTTTAGTGAGTGTGTGTGTGTAGTGAGTGCCCGTGTGCATTGAGTGCGTGTGTGAGTGTGTGTGCGTGTGTAGTGAGTGCCCGTGTGTGAGTGTGTGTGCGCGTGTGAGTGTGTGCGTGTGAGTGTGTGTGTGTGTGTGTGTGAGTGTGTGAGAGTGTGAGTGTGTGTGAGGTTGTGTGTGTGTGTGTGTGTCACTCACATGCCGTCCACCGCTGTGTTCCTGATGCAGCCGTAGAAGGAGTCGCTGGATCCCGTCTCTCCCGGAGGAACGCCACCGATGAAGAGCCGCTCCAGAGCCAGAGCTTTATCTGCAGACGAGCCCAGCTTCACCGTCGCCTGGTTCTGCTCGTCCACAAACACTGCGATGGACCTGCAGGAAAAACATGGAGCTTTCTGTAGGAAACGCCACTAAAATATACTGAATACACTCAAACAATATTTATCATTTGAATTACATGTAAAAACAAACAAACTTATCGCGATGCATTATTTCTCAGTCATTTCTCTATTAAATAATCATGGCATAGTTTATTATTAACTATTTGAATCTATTTGATTTCATTTAAATAGTCACATTTTTTAAATGCATTTATTCAAATTGCTTAAAATCAGCATGAATTGTCAAAACCAGAGAAAAATAAATCCATAAAAAAATGTTTTTCACTCAATTTGTTTTGTTTTTTTGTTTATTTTATTTCAGTTTCCATGGCAACATTTCTCATTTTCATTTCGTTTAAATATATGTACTAAAATAACTAAAAACTGATATAAGAATTAATAAAAACTATTTACACATTTTAAAAAAAATTATAAAAATGACAAAAACCACAACAAAATTACTAAAAACTTTAATAGTTTATCAATGATTCTAAAATAACACTTGTGAAAATTGAAATTACTCCGTTAAAAAATATGGCAAGCTGTGAACAGGCGATATTCAATATTCAATGATATTGAAAACAAATTTAAACAAAATGGATTTAATATATAAAGCTGGTTATTGTGTATTTAAAACACATTGAGTTTATCTGCACTGTTACAGGAATCTGACCCGCTTCATTGATGTATGACTGACAGATATCATCACATTGAGTTTGTTAGTTGGTTTAAACAATGTAATCCAAATGCATGGAAGTTTTATATGCAATTCAAATACATTAATCTTACATTTAGGCCTGATTATTTAGTATGAATGTTGTGTGTAACAGACCTTTTGTTCCTCTGCAGTATGAGCGAATGCTCCTGTCCGTCACTGAAGGAGCCGTTCTGTGATTTGACGACTGCTCTGTGCATGGCCCCGCCCTCGGCCCCGCCCACATGAACCTCCAGCGATCCGGACACCAGCATCACGACCAGGAACGGCTGAGAGAAGAGCAGCAGAGGAAGCACATGAGCGATGGGACGTGTTCACAGACACAGCCATGATGCCATGAAGACTGAACCGACCTGCTGCGTGTGTCGGCGCGAGCGTCCCTCGCTGCTGCTGAATCCCGCCAGGATCACGCCGCGCTCTCGTCTGCTGGAGAAGCTGCTCATGATCTCCGTGTGAGGAGCCAAGAGGACGGCAGGCATCTGCAGAAAACCTCCGCCGAACACCGACACGCTGCGGATGGGCTGCAGACACACACCAGCACAGTAACCGTGAGCTACACATCCTCCAAATCATTCCTTCACTCATAATTAACAACTTTCAGGGAGATAATTATCACACGACTTCACATTTGTGTTTGTATTAAAAGATAAACAAATTCAAAAGAATATAATAATTAAGTGAAACCGGGCCTGAGTGCAGGTGGTTGCTAGGGAGTTGCTAGGATGCTTTCTGTGGTTCCTAGGCAGTTGCTATGTTGTTTTCAGTGGTTGCTAGACAGTTGCTATGGTGTCAATTGCTAGGGCATTGCTATGTGGTTGCCAGGGTATCCCTAGGCAGTTGCTACAGTGGTTGCTAGGTGTCACAGATGGTTGCTAGGACATTGCTGAGTGGTTGTTAGGATGCGCTGGGTGGTTGCTAGGGTGTCGCTAGGCAGTTTAAAATAATCTTTAGTAATAATATACAAATAAATATTAATATTATATGTTGTAACATAAAATTATTATAGCAATATGTTATATTGATACTATTTTAAGATTTAAGATATTATATATTTTAATATAACATTATTGCAATAATAGTATGTTATATTGATATTTTAAGATTTTAGAGTTTTTGATAAAGAAAATGAAAAGGGCTTAATTAAGGGACTTTAGATTAATCTTTAGTAATAATAAATAAAAAATAAATATTAATATATTATAAATATTACTATAATATTATTATAGTAATAATACTTTAAATTAATGTAACATTTTTGTTTAACTTACCATTTCAATGTCCTTTATTTTATATCATAATAATAGAAATGAATGTAAAAATAAAATACCGTAGAGAGTTTAAAATACATTTTAGTACCGTTAACAATAATTGTGGTTTAATGAGTGAAGCTAAATTATTCCATTAATTACAGCTGAAGACAAACTGACAAACAGACACAATAATTAATTAAATACACAAATGCAAAAAAAAAAAAAAAAGTTAAATTTTTATGATTTAATAAATTTTTAGTAAATGTTTTATTTTGATTGTTTTTATTTTAAAATGATTTATTTTCATTTTAGATTTTTTACCATTGAATCAATTTTTATTTTGTGTTTTAGTTTTATTTGTTTTTATTATATAAAATGATTTATTTATTCATTTTAATTGCACATAAATATGATTTAATTTGCTTTTCATCAAATCACGAACTCCCAGAACGTGATGCTGTACCTTGAGGACGCAGCCTTTCTTCACTCCATACGACTCTCTGAGCAGGTCGAAGTTTGTGCGAGCGATTTCTACATTCTTCACACAGCCGACGAAAGAGCGAGCCACAACCTGCCTCCTGCAACCGTGCACAAGGAAGTCGCATATAAGACAAAAATGACTCTTGAGTCTTTAGGAATTACTTTAAGGAAACTGTAGCATGTCTTCTGAGAGTTTGCTCTCACCTGATTGGTCGAGAGGCCGGTAATCCGCCGATGTAGATGGGGTCGAGGTCAGAGCGATTGAGGTCAGAGGACGAACCCGGTGACTCCGCCTCCATGACCTCTCGCTCTGAGGGTTTATCAGCAGCCATGACCGACAAATGACCTGCAGACACAACACACATCACTTCCTGTGAGCTTAAACCTCATAAGAAATCTCCCAGATGTAATGGATATGAGAGTAGAGCATCACCTCGGCGCTTGTTCCTCTGCAGGGCGATTCTGTACCAGGTGCCGGTGTTGTATGTTCTGTTGGAGGTCAAGGTCAGCACTCCGGAGCCCAGTTCAAAGGTCAGGTGAACCTTCCCTTCCACCAGCTCGATGGACAGGAAGTCCCTCTACAAACACCGATGAGAAGAGAGCTGAGTGAGACGCTGAGGAGCGCTTGAGAGGGAGATAAGGAGGTGAGAAGTGCTAGCGTGAACGTACGGTGCCGTTGGAGGCCAGATACAGCAGCAGGCCGTTAGGAGAGAGAGTCTTGAAGAACATGACCACGCTGGTGGACATGGAGCGCAGGGACTTCTCCAGCACAGAGAAACCGCTGCCGTCGAAGTGGAATGACGTGTCTTCAGTGCGTGGACTGATGGACATGAGACACACAGGAAGAGCGTCAGGGACTGTTTCCACCTGTATTTAATGCTCATCACATCATCAAAGACAGTGCAGGTGGTTGCTAGGATGCTTTCTGTGGTTCCTAGGCAGTTGCTATGGTGTTTTCAGTGGTTGCTAGGCAGTTGCTATGGTGTCAATTGCTAGGGCATTGCTATGTGGTTGCTAGGGTGTCCCTAGGCAGTTGCTACAGTGGTTGCTAGGTGTCACAGATGGTTTCTAGGGCATTGCTGAGTGGTTGCTAGGGTGTGTTGGGTGGTTGCTAGGCAGTTGTGGGACCTAGGCAGTTGTTATGACGTTTTCAGTGGTTGCTAGGTGTCACAGATGGTTGCTAGGGTGTTGCTGGGCTGTTGTGGGACCTAGGCAGTTATGGTGGTTTCAGTGATTTCTAGGTGTCAGAGATGGTTGCTAGGGCATTGCTGAATGGTTGTTAGGGTGCGCTGGGTGGTTGCTAGGGTGTCGCTAGGCTATTGTGTGACCTAGGCAGTTGTTATGGTGTTTTCAGTGGTTACCAGGGTGTTCTGGGTGGTTACTTGGCAGTTGCTAGGTGTCATGAATGGTTGCTCGGACATTGCTATGTATTTTCTAGGGTTTCGCTAGGATGTTGCTAGAGTGTTTTCAGTAGTTTCTAGACAGCTGTGAGGTGTCATAGTTGCTAGAACGTTGCTAGGGTGGTTTAGGTTGTTGTTATGGTGTCACTAGGAAGTTGTTAGAGTGTTTTCAGTGGTTGCTATACAGTTGCTATGGTGTTTTCAGTGGCTGCTACTGATACTAGTTGTCTTAGATGGTTGCTATGTGGTTGCTAAGCTGTTCTGTGTGGTTGCTAGGGTGTCGCTAGGCAGTTTCTAGAGTGTTTTCAGTGCTAGACAGTTGCTAGGGTGTTTTCAGTGTCTGCAAGGCAACACAGATGGTTGCTAGGTAGTTGCTATGGTATCTTTATGTTTCTATATGGTTGCTAGGCTGAACTGGATGGTTGCTAGGGTGGGTGAACGGTGTGTTTTACCTCATGAAGCAGCCGCCGCACCCTCCCTGTCTCTCAGCGTAGTTCCACAAGCCGATGTTGTTCTCGTTGAGCGAAGCTTCACCAATGCAGCCTCTGAAGTGGGTCATTCTCACCGCTGGGGGTTTCTGGGAAAAACACAACAGATGTAAACAGGGCCAAATGCAAGGGAACCCTCAGGAACACCAGACGGATGTGCATCTTACCTTCACCTGAGCGCCGAGGCCCCCGACGAACACCCAGGTGGATTTGTTGACGTCCATGACGGTGGAGGACCCAGACGCTGTGGTCTTCACTGCGGGCAGCGGCTCAGAGTCCGTCTGCTGGACAGTGAGGGTCCCGTGTCTCCCAAACCTAACATTACAGTACAGGAGATGTCAGAGCCTGTCGTTCAAAGGGAAGAACTGAAACGTCCCATCAGCACTGAGAGTCACGAACCGCGTCGCATTGATCCTGTGCCACTTGTCATTGTTGATCTGAACGCTGGGATACTCTAGTCTGGTGAGTCCAGAGCCAGTGTCCCACAGGAAGGACACCTTCCCATGATGCATTTCCAAAGCCATAAAATCCTCCTGATGTGGATATGAATATGCACTTTAAACATTGGAATATACATACAAATATACTGCACGCATGAAGACATTTTTCTCAGTTGCAATGACCGAAACTGAAATAAGTTGTTTACTAAAACCTAAACTAAAATTAAAATGAAAACTGAAAATATAAAAATAAAAGCTAATTCAAAATATTAATAAAAACTACAATAATACTA